GTCTTTAGAGCCTCGGGTCGAGCGCAAAGTGACCTCCCTCGTACATACATACCATACCATACCATACCATTACACATCACATTACAGATTACACATTACACATTACACTTTACACTTTACATTACATACATACATACTTACTTACTCTACATTACATTACATTACATTGCACTACATACATACATACATACATACACACATTACATTACATTACATTCATACATTACATACATTACATACATTACACTACATTATATTACAGTACATTACATTACATTGCGTTATTACATACATACATACATACATACATACATACATACATACATACATACCATTACATAACATTACAAACCATAACATAACATAACATACATAACATAAATAACATACACTACATAGAAAACATACATAACATACACAACATACATAAATTACATAACATACATACATACATACCATACCATACCATACCAGACCAGACCAGACCATACCATTACATTACATTACATTACATTACATACATTACATACATTACATCCATAGCATACATTACATACATAACATACACTACATACATAACATACATTGCATACATTACATACATAGCATACACTACATACATAGCATACACTACATACATTACATACCATGATTACATACATAACAATATACATACATACATACATACATACATACATACAACCGTACCACACCACACCACGCCACACCATACAAAAACAATACATACATACAATACATACATGCATGCATGCATACATACATTAATACATCACATTACATTACATTACATTAAATTACAATATATTATATTTCATTACAATACATTACATTACATTACATTAAATTACATACATACATACATACTTACTTACTTACATTGCATACCATTACATACCATTACATACATTACATACACTACATACATTACAACGCATGTACATGCATACATACATTACAACGTGCACAAATATATCGAAGCTCAAACAAAGCAGTAGCGCACCCTTTTCCAACTTGAGCCAAAAGCGGACGATCGACGGGTATTCACCCCTCCTAGACGACATGGAGTTCCTCCATGAAGTCTGGTGGGGAGACTGGGCGGCAGTCCCAATACCGGTCTTACCGAAAGCCCAGGATGGGCGGCAGGCAGTGCCAGCGACCATCCTTGGGCTCCCAGACAGTCGCTCATGGCCTTCGACATGTCATGAATGTGGCCTTACAAAGTGTCAAAACCAAGGACTCTGCCGTCAGGTTCCATGGTACGTTGTCAAAGATGCTTCATGTCCTTGCAGATCTAAGACGCAGTTCTCGGGTTTCAGGATGCTCCCTTTTGACATCTGAGAATACAGTGTCTCCAATTCTTTTCTTAACAGTGTAGCCACACACCGCGTGCACAAAGGTTGTGGAAAATGAGGAGCGATGGAACGATAATTCGCTCGGTGGATCGTGCTGGCTTAGTCGCAAAGCATGTGCAAAGCACACTTTGGAAATTGCAACAGCACTGTTGATTGCTGCGCATTTGGCTAAATGGACCCTACTGGCATTTACGGTGGTAGATGAGATTCCCCGCCAAAAGACCCAGTGCGCCTGGACGGTGGGGCCGGGTCAACCAATATCCGGCCCCACCAATCTCCGCGCGATCTGGGCCGAATCGAAAAGGGCCTTGTCCCCAAACCAACCCAAACACGGTTAGCTGGCTGGGCCTTCCTCCTCATCAGCTTCATCGGCGATTCATCGATCTCGCATATTGGATTGAAAGCCTTGGTGGGTGATACAAAAATCCAATTTCACAGCTGGGGCGCCTGCCACAAAATCTGCAAAAAGTCACGATTCACTGCACCTGTCAAGAAATCTGAGCTCCTCAACGATCACCACCATGTCCAAAGTGCTGCGCCTGCCAAAAAAAAAAAACTGCATTTCGAAGTAAACAGCTCCGATCCCTTGCACCTGTCACGAAAAGTTGACTTTGAAGCACGAAAGCACGAGGTTTCACTTGCACCTGCCACGAAAAGTGACCATCATGACACCACAACGAGAGCGCAGGGGATATTTGCAGATCCAGGAAGACCTGGGTAATTACTTCTTATTTTAGCAGAGCGCGCTCTCCTCAAGAGGCTTCTCAGCCTTTCAACTTGCATGTGTACAAGCGAGGCGTGAGGCGATTTCCGCACCCACAAGCAAGTGCCATGCCCAATCTAATGGCTAATGGGGTGGGGAAGTAAGTTGTGAGGAACAGGAACGGGCCCTCAACGGCCCGCACTGGGCATTTCATGCGCTTGCGCACTTTCAGTCACGCGCATATTCCCCTTAAATGAATGAAGTCAATTCCCTCACTCTACTGGGGGTGTTTAGTCTGCTCCCATCATCCTCTTCCCCCCCAAGACACCCAACTAGCGTAACGTGTCGGTCCTCAGGGATGCTTTCCACCCAACCCTGTCTTCCGCGCACCATCCTCAGCACTCAACGACCGGCGCCTGGCACCGATCACACCGTTGGGATGAACCGGTGACTGGAAGACCAGTCGAAGTGTTCTTCTGCACTGGGAATATGATTGAAAGAGGACAATCCGTGTGCTATCCTTTGAACTGGATTTCTAATTTGGATATCTATATCTATAAGTTAGTCTATATAGTCAATCGTTCTACCAATTAAGTATCGGTAATTCGTGGTATACAGCTTGTTGCTACGTCCATAGCCTTCAGGAGATCTTCCCTGCCCCCTGCCCGACCTGGGCTTCTTCACCCGAATCCCAAAACCGTTTCTCCACCCATCCCCGTCCCCGTCCACCGTCCAAGCGAGTGCTCTCAGGAACTGGATGATCTTCACCAGTGGATGTCCGTTCACTTTCAGCTCCTGACAAGATCTGGAAGAACGGATTTTTGTCAAGCAGCTACAAAACCCTAGGTCCTAGGTCGCCCCGGAAGCCCGCATTTGAGATCTAGGGTGGAGGTGCAGCGCAGCCTCTGCGGCACAACGAACCACTGCAGTGCTGAACACCAAAGAAAAGGTTCAGAACCTAAACGAACGGGATATGTAGGTCTACAAATAAAACAACGCACTGAAGCCTTTAAAAAAGAACGTCGGTCTGGGCCACACCCGATGGCAAACCACTGAAACCACCATCGGGTGTGGCCGACTATGCTGCGGACACCGCGTTATCGTCTTTTGGTGTCGAAACCGAGCTAATTAGGTGGATTGGTTTCGCTGCTTTATATATCGCCTTATAAGCAGTCATGAGTGAATGGCCGATGAATTCTCCCGCTCCGCCACCGAGAAAAAAATAAAGAGACACGTGACTTCCGCAGTGGAAATGGAGTTGGGTGCCATCCATGGAGGAAGGAGTTGAGTGCCCCTTCTCCACTGACAGTCACACCACACGTCACTCCACTCGGTGGACTTTGCGTGGTTCCATGGAAGTCGGGGTGCCCCGACCGTCACATCCACTCGGTGGACTTCGCACCACCCGAACCTTAGAACTCCGGACACCTGCCGTTCGGGACCTCACACAGGGACTTCTTTCGCTCCTTCAGGGACTTCTTGGCCGTCTCCTTCACCACGTTCCGCAGCTCCACCTGGCACTCCTGACGATGGCCGCCCCTGTCTTGACCACCCGACCGGACGCCACCCGAGACCGAACGGTGGTGGTGGGTCGGACGCGGCAGCTAAGGTGGACCCAATACGTTCGGCCCCACCCACATGGGAGGGTGTATTTTCAATAGGGGGAGCTCCCAACCCAATGGGTTTTTCCTCTAATTTCCCTTCTTCGAGGGTTGAACTGGGAGGTTTGAGGGTCGAACGAGGCTTTTGATACACACCCAAAAGATCCCAATATTATGCCCCACTGGTCCAAAAAGGGGTGGTGCCCCCTTGGGGGAGCCCCTCTGGCAGACACTCCGAACGCGTCCGGAACCCATCACCGGGCGAGTGTCTGTGGTGCCGGTGCTCCCCTCGGTGTTCTCCCCCTCGGTGGTCCAAATGGATCCAAATCAAAACCCAGACACTCCATGTCTGTCATATATGCCTACATTGACCCCTGAAACCACCCCAATGTAAGCATATATGGCATACATGGAATGCAAATGATCAGCTTGAGACGACTGTCTGGAATGGTTGTTACATACATTAACCATGGTCTGGGAGTCCACCTTGTAGCTACGTGGCGCTTCCTGCCCTGGCCTGAACCCATCCCAGGTGGAGGCCTGTCCATCCCAGGTGACCCCGAATGGAAGCAGCTGGTAGAGATCTGGAGAGGACAGGACCGGTGACCGGTCCTGCGGTCCGGTCCGTTCAGTTGGGCCACCATCAATTCAAACCCATCTGAGGCAACCCCAGACACGACCAATGGGACTGCCATATATGCTTACATTGGGATGGTTTTGGGGGGTCAATGTAGGCATATATGGCAGTCCCATGGAGTGTCTGGGAACTGTAGGTCAATGGAACGATACTGGCGAAAACTGCGACAAGAAGGAGGCGAGTGAGATAGGGCGAGTGTCCCAAGAAAACCATGAGCTGCATGTCAACGCTATAGCAGTCATGCCCAGTGTTCATAGAAACACTGGCTTGCTCAAGCAGAAGAGGCATTCTCTATTATACCAGTAGAATCCAGTGTGTGCTCGGAGCTTTTGACATTGGATTGCCTGGATTACAAAGGTGTGAAAAGAAGATCCAATTCCAGGAGTAACAAGAAGCTACGAACGGGGCGAAACTGGCCTTACTACGAACGGGGCTCCCGGCATCGCTACGAACGGAGCATTCTTCAGACACTCGAGGAGTCACATTGGAGGCCGCTGAGGTGGTGGGTTTTTCCTCGTCCCACCGGCCGTCCCGTCCCACGACATGTGGCGGTTCTGGGACACCCTGACGACCTGACGGCGAACGGCCGCGACTCGACGGGTCCGAAAAAAGCGCGTCTCCTCATAGATAGGCTTCAGCTTTCGCAGAAGCGCCTGGAATTTGTGTGTTTTTCCTTCGTTTCTGCGTGGGGTGAGGGAGGCAGCTGCAGGTTTGTTCGGCGCCCCAACGGCCCCCCAGTTGCTGATCTTTTCTGTCCGGAAGTGTGGAAGGGTCGTGACTGTCTGCTTTTGGAAGATCAACTTCAACCGACCTTTCTGCCTCCAGGGTGCCCCCAATCCCCGGCTTCAATGACCACCCTGGCGATCCACTGAACTCCGAGAACCTTTTTGGGTGGTTGACCGGTGAGTCTTCCTTGGGGATACAGGAAGAGATCTGCAGATGATTCATGATGATTCTCCAGTATCTGTAGATTCTGTAGATTCCCCAAGAATCACTGCCAAGACAGCGAGCCGAGCGAGGTCCAGTTCAACTAAAAAAGCGGACCACCGAAGTGTTCAGTCACCCGGTCGGACCACTCCATGAAAAAAGCTTAAGGGACCACCTGGAGTCGACTGGACTCCAGAAAAATCGAGTATCCACTCGCCCGGTTCCATTGAAGAAGCTCACGACTGGACCCGGTTCCTCGAGCCGACACTGGTTTCCTTCCTCAGTCCCTCTCTGAAAGAACTGCGTTCACCATACAAGCAGCTTTGAGAGATGCATCCCAGAATCTGGGTGGGATGAAAAGTACACAGATATGATATACTTGCCACTTGATGCATACATATCCATACATATCTTTCATCATCCAAACTTGATGCATCCCACTTGCTCCTGAAATTACAGAATATCGAACCTTCAGGAGACTGTTTGCCTTGCAGGACGTCTTCGCACAACAGGGACAAAAACAGGACCAAAAACTGGACAACTCGTGCACATATATTTGCAAGCACCAGTTCCTTTTGCAGGACCATGCACCATGTCCCATTTTCATATGTTCATTATTGTTCGTTGGGTACTTTAGAGGCTCCAAGCTAGGAATCCCTCCTGGCCTCGAGCGCGTCGGCATTCTGGCGGCGTTTCTCGGTCGCGGCGGGGCCGCAAAGGCATTCGCGTAAGCTGCTGAAGGGCACCTGCCAGGAAAGAGTTCGACAAAAACCGATAGGGAAACATATTTGAAGACCCACTCTGGTCTGACTCTGGGTCAATGTTCCTAGTTTAGATCCTGTTTGGTGAAAACATATTTGGGCGTATTCAAAGTTTTGGGGAAGACGCCGATTACAGTTCGACCCACTCTGCAAGAGGAAGTATGCATGGAATTAAATCTTCCAAGTGACACCCACGTTCGCTTCCACCGGCTGGTCACCGTCGGCCGTCATGGTTGGTCGACCGGCCCTGGGTCTTGGCCACTGGCTGATGAAAGCTGACTCCAGCACGCTAATCTGACTGGAAGCAGGGGGTCTTTCCATTATTTCTCGTCCAGTCACAAGGCGGGGTGAACTTGGAGGATAGGGGTGCCCAGCTACTCCACTCACTGGATGGGACTCAAAACCACCCCTTTGTGACTCCTGGCTAATTAGTATGTTCTATGCCCAACAGAAAACAACCGAGCCATACTGAGCCATACTCCTTTTTGTGCGAGGTGCTGCTCGGTCTCGGTCGGCCTGAACTTCCCAAAGAACAGCAAGGGTAAAAATCTGCCGGACCATACGAGTCTATTCTCCATAGCCACCGCAATGGTCTTGATGGATATATGGCGAACTGAAAAGGACTCATTTTCATGAATGTTGGGAAGGAAGAGTTGTCCAAGAGTCTACAACCCCCTGAAGATCCTTTCCAAACTGGGAAAGAACCAAATGCCTCTATATATATATATATATTAGGTATTCGATGGTCATAGCATATTCACCTTGACCCAACCAAAATCCTCCAAACCCTCTGACTCTGGGCGAACAATCCGTTTGACCACACCGACTCATATCCTCCGCCTGGTTGATCCGCGGATCCTCCAGGAGCGGTAAGACTGTCTTGGTGTTGATCCGGTTGGACCACCAGGCGTGGACCATGTTCCAAACCTCGGGTGTGACGAACACCAACAACGACGAACACCAAAACAACGAACGAACACATGTTCCAAAACGAACACGTGGAGGGCAAACGGTCTCTTGGAAGACGACGATCTCTTTACGCACCGCTTTTTTGTTTGATTTTTTCCACTTCCATGTTTGATGTGTGTGTCGGAGGGTAAGGGCTTATGCTTTGAATCAGCCGCCTTTAGAACCACAAGGGCGGCTTTTCAAGATGGTCAGGTGTATGGACGCACGCAACGCTTTGACGTGTGTGGACAGAGGAGATGACAAAGCCAGAACCTTCCAGAACCTTGCAGGCCCTGGTGTTTACCAACAGAGGTTGACGGACCCCTATAGGTCACTTAGCCTCTCTTGGCAGAAATGCTTGGGTTGGCTCGCTGCTTCGTGTCAGCTTCAGTTGGAGCCGTCCGCCTCAGTTGTCGATTGGAGGCTTCCCTCGATTTGCTCTTGCTTCGGCGGCCGCTTTTGGCGCCGCTCTTGGGATCTTCCTCCCTACCGAGCTCGTCCATCCATCCCAGCTACCCGGTCGAAGCGTAAAGCTTCGAAGGGCAGCTGGATCTCGTCGATGGCGCCGTCGGAGATGGCACCGAACTGGACTCGTAGATACCTGAGTTCACACCGTGTTCTCGGAAATAAGAACTCTTTATGACTCACGGTTTGGATCGGTTCTGCTGCGATGTCTGCTGATGCAACAGGTGCCACCATCCACCCTCACAGGTGCCACCCTGAAAAGAATGGACCATGACCCACAGTCATATATAGTCAGGACACATTTAATATATCCCAGTGTTCCAGGGCAATTCAACCACACTTTCCACCTGGTCACGCTTAGTGGGGCAACCAATGCCCAAATGGTTAAGGGATATCCACTAACGGGGTAGGATTCAGCATCCATGATTGCCGAGTTGATGGGTGTAGGTGGCCAACGCTATCTACAGAGCCTTTCAAAGTCTGTTACGTGGGAAATGGACCTGCCAAACCTGGTCCAGGATGTTTTTCTTCCCAATGATGTTCGAAGATGTTTCTTTGGACTGTTGGCGCTAGTTCTCTCACATCCCAGGTGCGCGCGTTTGCATCAGCGTTTGGTCCAAAAAAAGTCGAACTTCGAGTGGATCCAGCCTCTGACCCCCACGAAAGGCGCTGCCGCTAACCGCTCAAAGCGGTGCAAAGAGTAGACTCTTGATTGAGAACCCCCCCATATGAAGAGGTTGTTCAATTTTGGGTGGATTACTAATCAAGAGTCTACATGATGCTTTGGTTCATCCGTAGTAGATGGCATCGGAAGTTTATCTCCATCATTCACGTTTTGATCGAACTTCTTTCTGGGGGCCTGGCGTGGACTGGTGCCAAAATACACGTGCATCTCTAAGCACCACGAAATACACATGCCTTTTTTGGTAGTCTCGATTGGTGATTGACCTCTTCAAGCTTGGCGGGGGTGATTTGTGAGTCAAGAGTCCACAATTAATTATTGCCCAATCACTCCATCTAAGGCCCATATGCCTACATTTGGGGTGGTTAGAAAGGGGTCAATGTAGTCCATACATTACATAATATGGAGTGTCTGGGTTTTCTGAAGCTTCACCCATGCTATCCCGCTATCCGCCGCGCCTTCCTCCGAGTCACAGGAGAATCTCCCGTCGTCCAGCTCCTTCAGTTCGTCCTCGCTCCACGTCTGAGTCTCCTTCATCCTCTTTCGCGCATGAGAGGTGCAGAAGCCTCTCGCCCAAGCAAAGAGCTCATAAGCCTCCCTGCCAGGGCTAGCCGGCTAAAACTTTGGGGCTGCTGTGCTTGTTTTCACGCAAAGACTCGGGGCGAGTCGCAAGAAAACAAACGCTAGTCATCAGTGAAGCAGGAGAAGCTTACGCGTTTCTTGGTCAAAAGTTAAAGCGTAAAACCCGAAGATCCTGATACTTTTTATGCAAATCACCCCGCAGCAGCCTCCAAATGGAGAATCTTCTCCAGACCAACTATTTCATAGCCCTGGGTTGAAAACTCGAAAATCGGTGTCATCTTTTTGGATTCAGACTTCAGTTCGTCGATTCGCCCCCCAACACTGCTCTCAAGAATTTGGTCTATTCTCTTGAAACTGGGTGGAACAAACACCAGTCATGATTGGTTGCTCCAAGATTTCAAAAATAATCTTTGATCATCTTTGATCTACCTAGCGCTTCCTGTCGGGGTGCCCTGTCTGGAGACCGGTTTACGTAGTGTGGAGATATGCAGCCAGGTGACCCCGAACGGAAGCAGCTGGTACAACCATGTTACTTAGTTGAAAGTCGATCGAACTTGCCAGTGAAAACCTGAGGGATGTGTCGTCAATGCATAAGAATTCATGAATCTAAATAGATATCATCATTACGATCTTCGCTTAGAGGTTGAATTCACCAACCAGCCATAAATGCTTCGTCCTCACCTGATCAAAATGGGTTCTTTTCAAAATTGGGCTGAAATCTTTCGCCTCACATCCTCGTAGATTTGCTCTGGTCTGCGACCCCGCCATTCGCCACACAGGCATCGTCGTAAGGTCTCCCAAGAAACGCCACAAATCCGAGGGTCCTCGCGAAAAAAGAAGGGGGTTGTGAGATGTCTTCATGTCCTCCCACGGCTGGACTGAGTGTTCCAAAGCCTCTCAACTTCGGGCATTGACTTTTTCTGAGCAGGCCTTGTTGGGTCCGATATCACAATAGTGACCACTCTGTTGCCGAAGGGCCAAGGTGTCCCCCATGAAGGGCCACGGTTATAACATGTTGCTGGAGTAGAAGTTCGCCACCCATTCGCCTAACGGTCCATGTTTTTGGGGTCCTTGTGGTGTTCGGCCCTTCTTTTCACTTTAAAAAGGGAGCTCTGGACATCTCACAACCCCCCCTCTCCTCGAAGAGGGGCTTCAAGGTCTTCAAGGAGATGTTCGCTGACCACCATGTGTGGATCATGTGATAGACCTCACGATCCCATGATCCGACGTCGACGTCGATCCATCCATGATCCTTCCAAAAACGACGGGGAGATAGAGCAGCCATTTGGAACGAACCTCCGGGACATCCCGGGCGAACTTTGGGACGCGATCCACTCGAGACCGGCGTCCGTTTTTGGACATCTAGGAGAATCCAAAGCAGCACCTGAGAGCCTGCGACGTATGCCAATCTGGTGCTTCTTGGGATTCCAGGTCAGACCGCCCTGGCGCTAATGCCTTCGCCTTCACCGCTCTGCGCGCGCAGGTCAGTCAGGCCGTGCGCATCCAGGTTCTATCACCGTCATGACCAAGGTGGAAGAAATCCAGGTGCTGAACGGCTTTCTGAATCATGGCGGACTTCCACCTGATGTCTGAACTCCAGCCATTGTCCACTTTAAGGCTTTCTGAAATCCAGGACCCCTCGGGCTGTAGGGTTCTTGAACTCAAGTGGACCATGGCTGGGCCCTGAGAGGGGGGCCCAGCCATGATGTTTCTCATGAGTTGACTCCAAGCAACCTCAGTATGCACCTTCAGCCGCAGGCCATTCCGGAAGACCACCACCCAACCCTCCTCCAACGTATGAGGATCTTCGCCCATGACATAGGCCTCGCACGACGTCGCAGGCATCACGCAGGCGTCGCGTCACGCAGGCGGCACGAGACGTGGTGAACCACGCCTCGCCCAAAACCGGTCGTGGGTGGCATCAAAGCGAAAGGAATTGGTGTGCAGGCCGATGTGTGGTGTGTGGAAGAAATCCAACTTTAGAACCTGGAGGTACTAAGAATTGGGTGTATTTAATACTGTAATGGGCATAGGCCCCATAGGCATAGGGGATGGTTTCTTGTGAGGTCTTCCCCCATGTGAAGATGCTGCAGGATGTCTTCCAAGTGAATCCAGTGCTCTTCATACAATTCTCCGTCTCCAGTGTAACCCTTCAGACTTCAGATGATTCAGCACCAAAGACTTCTCTAAAAGGTCAGCACCCTCTCAAACGTCCAACAAAATGAAGCCACCACATACACTCCCTGGAATAATCATAGAAACAAATGATGAAACATGGTCATGCACGGCCATGCCATCCACGTTGGCCCATGAGCACCTTTCAGGGGGGTGGAAGTTCCTTCTCTATCTTCGGTCTCCAGTTTGGTTGGATTTCTGCTCTTTTCTCGCCGAGCAGCTCGGAGGTCCTTGTTGCGTCAAAGTATTCCACAAGACGGGAAGAGATCGACGGACGGAAGAACAGTCGCCCCACAGCTGGTCGAAATCCAAAAAGTTTCGACTTCCAGGTTTTTGCGCTTTCTCGTCCATTCGCCGTGGCCTTTGACCAGATGGGTTTTGTATGTTCATTTGGAAACTCCCTGGCTCTGGCTGGGTAGACTGGTCGATGATTCCGAACAGCATCAGCAATGGACCGGCCACCGGGCCTGAGCCTTCGCCATGACATCGCTGAGGCTCGGGGCCTCTCCGGCTCCATAGCCTGTGCAACTTGTTCGAAGCAAAGGAACTCCAACCGACGAAACCGACTGAGCGCAGTTGGAAGAACCCACTAAAGCTACCAGCTACATCCTCCAGGGTCCGAGTCTAATTGTTGATGGGGAATCTATGGAACGGTCCCTGATCCCTCAATCACCCAGATCTTCATTGGGTTCTGGCTCTATCTATAGCCCTCCTTGATACATCTAAACCCATTCAGTGGGAGAAGTCGACTCCCGCAACTGCGCAGATCGACTCCCGAAAGTGCGCAGGCACCTCGGGGCTTCACATGCTCAAAGCTCAAGCGCTTGGGACGCTCCATCCCCAGCTCCTGGCGCTGCCCATAGCAGCAGTTGCACGGAACTCAGCTCGTTAGCTGACGCGGATTTCGTCGGTGACTCGGAGGGTGATGCCTTGGATGGCTGGCATGCTTGGTGCTGCGTTCTCTTTTTTGTTTTTCGGTTGACCGGTTCTGTGGTTCCGTGGTTTTTTGAGTTTTCTTTGTCAGTTCCGTTGGTGACATTTCGTGTCATGTGGGGAAGTTGAGAGCCTCAAGCACGGGCTTTGGATTGTGGAAGCAAATGTTCCAATGACCACCGGCTTTGTGAAGAAGCATGCCCAACATCGCAAAGCGCTTCCCAGCGTGCCCCTCAGTCCACCGGGGCGGGGTCCGGCACAGCCACAGCTCACGTGGAGAGGACCTGCGGGCTGATCCACCGGGAGAAAACAGGCAGCCTGAGGTGATTCCCCATGCCCCGTGTACATGGTGGGTGCACTACTTAGTATATCCCTTGCGGATCCACGCTAGCCAACCAATTACCCAGCCACCCTCTTTCTCGTTGTTCCCTCTTTTTTCCGAACGACGAGGTCGGCAGGGCAGGGCTCCTGTGCCATGGCATCCGCAGCGTCCTCCCAAAGCCAAGCGCCCTCCTCAACCATCCGAAGAGCTGCGGGATTTGGACATCTACTTACTACTTCAAGTGGAGAAGAAACTGTGAGAGCTAAGGTATCTATTGGAGGAAAGAATGTATGGGTTTTTATCTATCTTGGGACCTTTTCTGAAACATGGAGCTATTTGAAGTGGATTCCTGAGAACCGTTGAGAACCGTTTTAGAACTGTGTCTTCGAAGTCAAATTGTTCATGGCACCAAGTACAGTACGTGTTCTATCCGTTTTGGGGCACTTTTTACTTTTTTCATGAATGAATTCCACCGTGGGTGGTCCGCAAGTCGACAAAACCCGGATGGATGGTCAGAGCAACGACCCGGAGGGGGTCGCAGGCCGATGGGTCGTCGCCTTCATGACTGCCAGCAAGCGGAAGCCTTGATAACCTCAAGTCATGAGAGGTCTTGCATCGTTCGGTCGAGGGATGCAAAATCAGCAACTCTGGGGTTGTCAACTGGTCGCTTGTTTGTGGGAGAATAGGCTTGCTTAAGCGTTGCAAAGTGGTGAAAAATGGGGCCATGGGGATGAGACCAGCTACTCGACAGTCAATTAGCTATAGCTTGACAACTGTGGCTCTGCAACGATCCCGCTTCGTGGACATCTCCTCACCGTCCGTGAAAACGTCCGAAAAAAGCAACGCCTGGCTGTGTGAGTATGGGCATTTTGGGAAGTCTTGATAACCTCAAGTATAGTTGATAACCTACTTAGTACTTGAGGTACTTGAGGTTCTCAGGGAAGTACTGTAGTAGTTGATGACTTCGTCCTTCGATTTGAATGACCCCAGCGACCCGATGTGAGGACATCGACGGTGTCGTTAAAATGGGGGAAGCCAAGCCTTCGGTGGAAAGCACGAAAACAGACACAGGCTATATCTGTGCATAAAGAATAGGGAGGTCCAACAAATCTTGGACAGAACACAAACACCTTGTATGACACAACAACAAAGTCGAATATCCCAAAAAGAACCCAGAAACCACCTGCAGAAATGCTTTAGTGGAAAGTGGAAAGCACATCCGCCCGATTCTGGGAGAAGGGATTCGGCGGGAAGCACTTTGTCTTCCATCTTTGCATTTGGGAATGTCATATGATCCACAACAGCACCCACCGGGGCACCACACCCCACCACGCGTGGCCACACGTGGCCGTCGTTAAAGCCAACACATTCCCAGTCTCCCGGTCTTCGTCTCCACCAGGCGACTGTAGGGCACGCAGACCTGCACCTCGGGCCTCACGACCTCCGAACAGCCATCATCTCGCGGTCAGTCAGTCCGAGCGCACAGGTCGGTCTGGTGGCAGTGTTCGAGGCGCAGACAGAGGCGTTTTGGTTTCGGTGGCTTGTGTGGGGGGAGGAAAGGATGAGAAGGACATAGCAGGACCCGACTCAACTGGTGAGCAGCCACTTGCAGGCATGGAATGCTTTGGGCAGTTTGCCAAAATCCACGAGAGTGATGGAGATGTTGAAGTTTTTCCTTTTGGGGCAGATCCTGGATGTTGCTCTTCCAGATCGCTTCTGCGTCAACTGCAAAACCCTCTTTGTGTCCCCCATCCCAGGTGGCACAAACACCCGACATCTCTTTTTCATGACTTCCATGTCTTCACCCAAGCAACACTCCTGGCAGCCAACAGCATCCCAATGCCGACGACGGTCGCGCCCGCGCTCCCGACGGTCGCGCTCGACTGTCGTCATGCCTCTACGATGAGCGAAGTGACGCCCTCCGGGAGCCGGAGATTGGGATGCTGCTCCTCCAGCATCACGCGGACCTCGCCGCGCACCACGACGTGCGGCCGAAGGGCGTTCGACGCGAAGCTCCCCGGCGCCGGGTGCGTGCGCGAAGGGTGGCTCCGGTGCACTGTGGGTCGCTCTGCGGGGCTGGCGGGGAAGGACTACTGCAGTTCACTAATGTTTACCAACGTACAGCATCCATTCGGGCGTTTCGACCTAGAGCCAAGAGTAGAGGGCAGGGATCCGGCAGATGTTCCTTCGTTTTTTCCCTCGTTTTCGAAGTCAGAGTTGTTGGGTGTCATGTTCTGCTTTTGTTGGAGCCAAAACACCAAACAAGACCACCCAAAGGATCTTCATTTGACCATCATCCCTCAATTCCATCCGATCGCGAGCGGCCGCCGCCCGTTTGGGCCGGTGTGGGCCGCCTGCGCGATGTCGGAGCTATAGCCCACTGACTTGGAGGACAGCAAAGGCAACCTTGGGCGAGAAAAAGGCGCCTCCCTTTGGCAATGAAGGCCATGGAAACTTGAACCAGTTTGGCAGAACAGTTGAAGCTTGAGTCAGGTGGCTGATATTTTACTGGTCAAAAACCGGGCATCACTTGCTTTCAACACCCCACAGCCGAGCAGAATCGACGTCGCCTGGGAGGTCAACCTGCTCCAGGCTTTCACCAAGGCGTGCCTTCACTCGCTTTACGGCCGCACCCGCAGAAGGCGCGGCGCCTGAATCCACATGTTTGATAAACAAATTCATCCACACCATACCAGTTCCACTCTCCATCTCAAAGGCCAAAATAAGAATCACAGGCTTTGGGCCAACGAAAAAGATTAGGCTCACAGTGGAGGTCACACTAGAAACTACAGTCTTCGTAGTTGATCCGGGCTCCCCTCTCCCCTCCACCGTCTGGTCAAGATGTTTTTTTCACCTCTATCTGTATCCAGCGTTGTCCAAGAATCAAGTGAAGTTTTCACAGACTCAGTTTGGCTCCGTGAATGTCCACCCATCCTTCTACCCCTCCGAAAGAATCTGCCCATAGAATCTGCCCGAGCCGCCCATCGATGACTTCCAGGGTCGCTGGATCCTGACCGAGCCGTGCGGGGTCGCAGGTGATCGCAGGTCGCTTCCGGATCGATCGCGGATCGATCGACCGGTGCTACGTGGCAGACCGGTGATGGTGGGAACGGCAGAGCGTGGAGCTTCACCCCGTGAGAGACAGTGCTTCTTCAGACTTCCCACCATGCAGCATGCGGAGTTTCAAGCAGGTTTCTCGGTGACTCCGGTCTTGAGTTCTTCGTCAGGAGGAGGACTGGAGTTGTGCGTGTCCCCAACTTGGGTTTTTCTTCATTTCACTCCTGCTGAGGGAGATACTCCTGCAGACTCCTACCTGGAGGCCCAAAACCACATGGTTGGTTACACCTGGGAGCGTTCATTTTGGCATGTCTTCCTCCGCTGTCAGGGTGTCCAAAGTCCAAACACCAGCCACGGTAGGGCAACTCCCGTCAGCGTACTGCCTGCAGCCTGCATGCTTCTCCCATGACCCCAACAAAGTTTTCAAGGACCAAATGCATTGCCCCACACGATAGGGGCACCGCGATCGCAGGGTCAGGTCCCTCCAACCAGGAATCTTCAGCCGTTCTTCAGCCGTTCTTCCCATGCCAAGGAGCGCGTGGAGGGTGCAGCAGTCCCAATGAACCATCCACTTTCTCTAAGATCGCCTCCTCACGGAGTTCTTTGGGTCACCCGGTGGAGCCGATCGAAAAGGAACTCTAGTGGTCCCAGGGAAGCCGATCTCAAAGCTGATCCAAGTGACTTAGTGTATTCTTTTGAACCAAAAATTGTGTGAATGTCCAAAATGGCCTTTTCTAGCCATGGGTGTGACAGAGTGGGTAGCATGGTGCTTGACTTCGGGTTGTTCATGTCCTAGATCTTGGTAAGAATAGTAGATGTGTGACCAGTCGCACACCCAAAAAGATTCACTCACACCAGCACCAATCTGCGCTGGTGTAGAAGGCCTGTCGTTAAATTCAACTCGTCAATCCGGAAGCGGCACGGCCTGTCCTAGGCAGTGCTGGATGTGTGTCCTGTAATTCGTTTGTAGATGCTGTGGCCCATTCTCCAACTATCATGGAAGTGGACATCCTGGCCCGTGGAAAGACCATTCTCCTCTACCAAACAGGGGGTTGTCCAATTCCATGTTTGTTGCAGGGAGAGTAGCCCTTTTTCCCACTCTCAGAGATGAAGGTCGATTGCAACTGGCTGCACCTATCGACCAATGTGTCTGGAGAGGGAAGCCCAAAAAGACATGCACCAAACAGGGGTTCCAAGCCAGCTGCCTGGTAGATATCACCTGCTTTGACTCACGAAGAAAACACATACTCATGGGTGCTTCAGCTGGAAGATAGTGTACCTAGGAAAAGAACACTGGCACCATCTTTCGTTTCACCTCTTCCCCATCCGATCCGAGGTACCAGCTGTAGGTCTTCGGTGCTGAAGCTCTGCAGACCTGCGCGTTTTTTTCGCGCCACAGGCACAGGCGGCACATGAGATTGACGGGTGAGGAGATAATATTGCCGAGCAGAAGGGAAAGGGAAGATAACCACACTATATACCAAGCGCATCCAACTCCTGTCCATTCGACGCCCCTTAAGCTAAAAACCATTGGACACCCAGTAGAAATCTAAGTGTTTGACAAGTGCTTTTGAGGGATCCTCGTATAGAATCACAACTTTTTAAGGGATACTTGTGAATGGACAGGATTTGGGATTTGGGTCGCTGGAGACGTCAGCAGCCGCCTGCGTGTCAATCCATGTCATTGGTCAAAACCCGAGGAAACCAAGGGGTGCTCATTGGTCACCCCTTAAGCCTAAGGAGTGTCCAATGGACATACCTTAAGAAAAAGCGATGTAAGCCCATACCGCGTCATTCCGTGTCGCCCGATCTCGGAGAAATCGTGGTTCTACCTTGTCCTCTTACATCGGGATTTTTTCACGTGGTTCTCTTACATCGGAACTGTTACTTAGGTTCTCTTACATCGGGAATGTGTTACTGAAAGGGGTGCTCATTGGAGGCTCCTTACAGATAGATAGGTGAACATCAAAAATCATTGGATGCCCTTTTGAATCGTCTGGTATATATATATACCCCCGGCTCCTGGACCCTGGATAAATCCAGGCTTCCCAACATTGCTGGGCAAAACCTGCCTTTGTACCATTCTCACATTCTGATGTATCACACTCTATGATCAGCACCTTCCAAAGATATCCCACAGTACATGAACCACAAAAGAAACATTCATGCGCGATTCATGCATATAAATTCACTCGCACCGCACATGCACCCACACCCTCCGACACACACACACAAAGCATATTTGTCACTCTCTGAGAAGGTATGGTGAAGAAGCTGAAGCTAGGCTCGAATCACCATCTTAGACTCTGCCCACGCAACAAACGCAGCGGCTCGGTAGCGTTGAAAAGTGCGTTTCATAGCAAAAGAAGAACTCACATTGGTCACATGACGCACCAGGCGGCAAGTCTTGCCAACTAGATCTTCCTCCAATTGGACACCCATCGCGAGTGGATTCAGAATCTCACTTGCAAGGTCAGCTTCCCACAACATAGTCTTGAACACGTGCATTAGCATGTGTCCCTTCGGATTCAGCAGGAACAACATCCGATTCTCCTCACGGCTTTGCTTAGCTAGTTCCATGAACAGCTCCAAATACTTGAAGCCAAGGTTGGCAATCACATAAGCTTCACCCCTTGGCACCCACAATGGTGCCAAATAAAGCTTGGAGAAGCAATCGTTTATCGCCGCAGCAGCGTCAGCCTTACAGGCCACATGGAAAAACTTTATGGGATCACAGAAGAAGCCTACTCCACCCCTCGACCCCCTACGCAAAAAGGAATCATGCCAGGCAGCCAGCTTCATATGCAAAGATCCTTCTGCAAAAGTATTTCTCTTTGATCTGAAAAAGTACGCAACCCACTTCACTAGGCTGGTAGTGAGGTTTCCTTTCGTCCAGCTGCCAGTCGGGTAATCGTTCTTGTTCAAACTAAAAAGTTCTTTGGTAAAACGCAGTGCATACACCTGGTTGGAATTCCTCTTGCAATATTGCTTGTAGTCCAGGTAAAGCAGGTTCAATTGCTGGTCAACCGAATCACCATCAACGAAGTCAAGCGTGAGCTGGACAGCGTTGGCCACTAAGTTGCGACCCTCGCCCAGGTGAAAGCTGTGCCAGGGGTCAATGGCGAAGAACGTTTCCGGGAAGGACTCGTCGTGAGGGCACCTGAGGATCTCAGGGCGTAGTTGCCAAGGCTCTTCCTCTTGCACTGAAAACTGCCAGACACCATTTTTACTGTAATCCTCGAATGGGATGCGGGGCCTCCCCGCAAGGCATAAATGACATATTCCTGTGCAGTCCTTCTTGCTGGATGCCTGCTTAGGCATGTTCCGGAAGCTCCTTGTCAGTCTTCCGATCTTACAAAGATAGGGCCAGTCCCCCTTTGTGTAGAGGCTCACACACCAATACTGCAAACCGTCAGGGCCTTTCAAGCCATCCTCCGCCAAAGAGCAAATGTCCTTTGAAATTATTTCCACAAGTCGGTAGAACGAATCTGGGTGCAGGTCATATACCGCCTTTGGAAGCATTGCAAGCAGTAGCCTGGACGCATATGTGTTCCCAGTGTAGTTCATCTGTTGTTCTTTGCCACGGTGAAGCAATTTGCGTTTCCGATTTCTGGTCTCCACGCCATACCCTAGGATGGGGTGGGCATTCATGCACAGGACAGCATTTCGCTTCCTGCCACGCCCCTCGTCCCCGTGCAGTAACAAAGGCAGAACGCGGCTCAGCACCAGGCCCTTTTCCCGTTCAAGGGCAAACACTGTGTGGTTGGGTCTAAGAACCCTGAAGCGCTCCCAGAATAAACTCAGCTGGTCACATGCTGTTTCTCTCCTGGTTGCCCCGCAGAAATGGTGCCAAGCTCCGAACTTCCTTGCTTGCTACAGCAGAATCTATATTTGCAAATGGCCCCAACACGCCAAACACAAACACATGAATGACATGAACAGACTTTGGCGACTTTGCAAGACAGAACAATTTTTCTAGCAAGGGCCAGTTTCAGAATCAGATCCATCCAGCTGCTGAGAAGAAACACAGGGTACTTCTCATTGCCATCATGAAGCTCAACCATGGTCATGGGAAGTTCCAAGGCAAGACCATATTGGTCAATGAGCTTGTGGCAGCTCTCTTCTGCATGCCCTTCTGACTTTTCTGCCAAAGCGGCCGTGCTTGAAGCAATGTGTTGGCCTGCCTCCTTGGCAGCGGCTTTGGCACTGCGGACGGCAGCAGCGCAAGAGGCCTTGGCATCAACTTGCAACGGCAAATCTTGGCCAAGAGCCTCAAAAACAAATCCCTGAGTGCTCCATCACATCAAGGCTTCAACTACACATGCACCTGGTGACTTGCAGTGCGTTTTCATCTTCGGACGCGATGTCACAGCTGCAGCATCTCAGACCATTGTCAAGGCCACAGCTAGGCTATGCCGAGCACAGTAAATCTATCAATCTCGGATCGTCTGACGCCGTTTCATCGGGAAGGAACATGGGAGTATCACAGGGCCTTCAAACATGAAGTACATCACACAGAGTATCACAGGGCATCAGGTGGACCCGCCCTCAGGATCAAAACGGCCGGTCGATGGCCTGGTCAGTCCAGGGAGGCAACTACCAAATCAAATTCGTCAGGGAAAAGAAGGAATGCAAAGGAAGGAATCACTTTTGGCAGCGTGCCTTCCTCTTCAAGCAGACCATGCAAGAGCGGATCGTATGGAGCAGGTCCGAACACACGCGGAGCAGCTTCGATTGCGAGGTTGTTGAACGGCGCCTAGCCAGCGACAGCGAGACTTAGACATGAAACGTACACACACATGCTTGCACACACACACACACACACACACACACACGCACACAAACACCTTTATCGGTGCATGACATCACTATCGTTTATTCATGCACACCCTTCGAATCACTTGGGCATGCGAGGCACAAAGTGACGGAGTCTCTGTCCCGGGCGCTCTCGAGCAGGTGAATCAGCACGAGCAGGTGGTTCAACCACGCAAATCGCATCAGCCCTCAACATTCCTGCCAAAACAAGTCCACAATAGTCGACACAGAACCCACCAACTGTTGACTATGGTTGGCTTGTCTTTCAAAGCGTTTTGAGAACATAGCACCATAGCATTTGTTCGATGCAATGGCCTTCTAGAATCTTGTCTGTCTGGGTCTTAGCTCCATGATTGGACGGAGGGTCGAGAGATGCGGCGGGCCTTTTCATGTCGGCTTTTGTAAGCAGATTAAGAACAGGCAACCTTTTGTTCGAGCCTCTTTGCTCACACCAATGCATACATTCTCGCAATGTCCCGCAATGACATGCAGTGGGCACTTGACCTTGATTTATGGGGTTGGTTGAGCTCCAAATGTTTTTGGCCAAGGCGGTGCCAAGACTCTCTTTTGTGGATGAGACTTGGGAGGCGCGCAGGGTGCGATTCACGCCATCCACATGCGCTATCTCTAACCACACTGGACAGTGCCAGAAAACTTCATCACCTTGTGTCCAATTAACACAAGTGTTCGAATTCATACCCCGGAGGTTAATTACATCTTTTTGATTGGGGGTGGGTTCTTCAAGCACCTGTACACCATGTACGTAAAGAAAGGCCCATCATCAGAGGCATAGTCCGGATGGTCAGTCGAATCTCCACCCATGCGGATGTTCCGGCAACCAGGTCTTCCTTATCCATGCAGACAACAGGGGCGAACACCATCTACCTAAAGTCAACCTGAATGACAACAAACAGGAACACTTACTAGCCAAATTTAAGCTGACTTCCACTGTGCAGATTGATGAGGAAGGCTTCCATGAGCGCAGCACCAGTGGTGGTTGAAGACATGTACAGCCCAATCATTTTGTGGTATTTGTCGAGGCTATGATGGTACCCGTACAAATTGTTGTGCCATCTCCAACTCAAGCAGTGAGTAAACCCAAATTTGAAAGTACATGGGTATTCTTTCCTCAACAAGCAGCTAACCTTATTGAGGCAGTGTCTCAAAGCGGAACCTGCAGTTGCATCCGGTTTGGGAAAGCAGGTGTCAATGAACAGATCCCCTTCAAGCTTTCCCAAGCATTCCTCTAACCGCGGCACAGAGCGGACAGATTCTGGGACAAGTTCTCCAAACCTCAAGTTCGGAGTCGGTGTTGGCCTGGATGAGACTGCGCACGGTGGCAGGCCACACGATGGACATGATGGAGCAAAGCAGCGCTGATCAGGAGCGGCCTTCCGACACAGGGGGCTGTGGGCTGGAGGATGATGGGTTGACAAGCTTCATGTTTGTTTTACTGCACGTGACTCTGCACGTGCCAAGCCTCATTTGCAGATTTGTGGCATGAAAGAAGTTCTTCTAGCCACTCTTCGTCAGAGTCGGGATGGGACATGAGGGCAACTC